CAAACAAACAAACAAACAAACAAACAAACAAATAAACAAACAAACAAATAAATAAATAAATAAATACAATTACTGAAAAGTTTCGAACAAATACCACTCTGAGCAATGGTTTTTAAAAAGCAATACTGAAAGCAGCATGGCATAACAATCCATTTAAAAATCCCAATCAGGTAGGCCGTCACTGAGGGGATGCTTGTCTTTGAGAAATGAGAAGCACAGATACTTACAGTGGAACATTCGAGGCAAAATAAATGGGGAAAGAGGTGCAGACGCATTGGCTGAAGAACCTGGGAGACTGATTTGTATGCAACACAACCTTCTGGTTTAAAGCTTCCCTATCCAGCCCCCAGTAGGACAGAAGCAAGAACAAAATGAATTGACACAAGGTCATGTTAGAATAAACAGACAATATTTTCTTCTTAAATGTGCACTTCTTCTACATATGCAGTTAGCATCACATCTAATGAGGTCCTCAGCTAGCCTCTCTTGCCTGTCTACCAGTTAGTCAATGGTGTTCTGAAGCCTCCTGGTCAGATACAACCACACCATTATGTCCACCATCCACTTCTAAACAGCAAATTCCTTTATTTATCTTCCACCCCACCCCCACCCCATCCATGTTTTCTTCTCTAGCTGACTCAGAGTTTTCAGGGTATCAAACTACTAAGTCCTCAGCTGCTTTGGCTCCATTCTTCCCCATTTTAAGATGGAGGAGGGTTGCTGTGCTGTCTGGAGGATGCTGGAAGTTGTAGCCCAGCAAAGTGACTTTTGAACATTTAAGTCTATACCTTTTTTGCATGTGCCTCCTTTTTGCAGTTTTGACTACCTAAAGATCAACATGCACCCCTGGACTTTGCTAGCAAGAAATTATGGTGCGTAAGCTGGCTTTGATCTGAGTATGAAAAAGCTACTTTTTGTTCTATAGCTCTTGGAACTGCCTTAGCCAGCATAGCCATTAAGCCATGTGAACTGGAAGACCTGGGAGACTAGTTGTTTTGAAACGGTATACAGTGGTGCCTCGCTTGATGACGTTAATTCATTCCAGCAAAATCGCTGTAGAGCGAAAACGTCAAACGAAATAAAAAAACCCATTGAAATGCATTGAAAATCATTCAGTGCCTTCCAATGGGCTGAATACCAGCTCGTCCAGCAGAGATCCTCCATTTTTGGTGCCTGTAAAGTGAGGAATCTGTCCTAGAAAACAGCGGGGGGGCATTTTCTTCAGCTGGTGGCCATTTTGAAACCCGACAATCAGCTGTTTGCTGATCATCGTAAAGCGAAAATCGGTTCCCGAAGCAGGGAACCGATCATCGCACAGCAAAAAAACCCATTTAAAACATTTTGCGATCGCAAAAGCAATCGCAAAAATGTCAACATAAAGCGGGTTTGTCGTAGAGCGGGGTAATCGTCCAGCGGGGCATGACAGTATATCCTTGCTCTGGCCTGACTCTATTTCATTTGAAACCAACGATAACACAAGACACAGGGATAAACTATGGTGGAAAGTTCACTAACAAATAATAATGGATTGGTGACTGCATGGTTTCCCTTACAGACCAAACAAGGGCTTTGAGGAGGAATTTAGATTGGCTTGGCTAGAGGCCAAACTGGAACAGGCAGGATTGGGCTAAACAAAGTCACTTAAAGTTGCATAGAGGTGCATGGTATGATCCTTACATCCACGTACAAGGATCAGGTGGTTTCTGGTCAAGGAACCACATCACACCATATTTAGCATGATCAAGATCTTCTTTCCCTTTAAAAGGAAAGATTTCTGAAGATTATTGAGCGTGTCCCATTGGAGAAGCCACTGTATGGGAGACTTCCATTTGGCTCACCTTTTAGAGGGCAGGGGAGGGAAGTTATTTTTCATTACTTTTTGATTGTTGCTGACTATCAGCGATGCTTTGAATGGTTTTTTTAAAGTCCTGTCATACGCTGTGATTTGCTTGGTCAGCTGGCAAACACTAAAACGAAATGCTAAAGTTGCCCTCCAAATGTGCATGGTAAGGATGATCTAAAATAAAAGTTCTCCATTTCTGAAGATAGGGCCTGGCACACTCTGGTCCATGGGGTCACGAAGAGTCAGACATGACTTAATGACTAAACAACAACAACAAAGTCTTGAGAAATGAGAAGGTTTCTCTTTACATCATCCTTGCCACTCACCTTTGGAGGGGAAGGGAGAAGAAGTTTTGCATTTCTTTTTTAATGGTTGCTAACTGATACAGTAAAACAGCGATGCTTTGATAGAGTGATTGAAAAATACCCTTTCACAGCATCACTGATAAGTTAGCAACAATCAAAAAGAGTTTTCCCCTGCTCTGACCTCCAAAGGAGAGCAGAGTGGAAGTTTCTAATTAAGCAGCTTCTTCAAAGGGACAGCCAGCCAGCCATTTTGGTTTGATCTCAGAGATCAACACACACATGCTTTGATCTTGAAAACAAATGTAATGGATCCCTTTCCACAGATATCTCATATCTTAGTTTGGCTCAGAGGTCCCCATAAAATGTTAGGACAATGTAATGGTATTTTAAAGAGGTGGTATGTATGATATATTTTTTTCTCTTTCCTTCCTTCCCAGTGAACAAGCACTGGAAGCTAGATATATCTGTAACCATGCACAGTGCAACACAATCTCTTTCTCTTGTGCAGTAGTGAGTAACACCCCCCCCCCATTGAGGGTATGAAAAAGGTACCCGGTCAGGAGGAAATGGGAGAAACATTATAAGAGCTGGAACTGACTGAGGGTACTCCAGTATGGGAGTGCTTTTTAACACCAAAGTTAGGTAGGGAGTTTGTGGCCCTGGAGATCTTGCCGGAGTGCACCTTCCATCAGACTGAGCCACAGCAGAACCTGTAGTGATGGGTGATGGGAGTTGTAGTACTACTGCAGCTGAGAATGGGGGTCACATGTTCTGCAGTCTTGTTCAAGATTCTGCCAACACTTGCTTTTGCTTTTAGTGGATAAAAGGTTGAAAAGATTGGATATACATTTCTAAAGAAACACACAACACATAAGTTGTGGTATACTGCATATTATTTAAACATATAAATTGGACTGTGTGTTATCTAAAGACTTATGTTGGGGTATACAGCATTTTTGACAGATTAAAAAATGACAAATTAATGTAACATACAACAACAAAATTTGAAACAAACAGCCTAACAGCCTAGTTAAGAATATTGCTCTATTTTTAAGCAGTGAGTTTGTTTTGAAAGTTTGCATATTTTCACAGCTTTTAATAATTCTTAATAATTAATTTTTATTTATTTTGCAGGTGACACCACTGAGTGTTGGTGTATTACATTTGGCAAATTGGGCTGAAAGGCAGGGTATTGTCCCTTACATGTTACTGTATATCAGAATTGGGTATATTAAGTCTTTATTAGACTGCTGAAGAACATAAATTATGTTGGGAACGTGTTTGGTTGTTTGTTATATACTAAGTGATCCATGTTTGTTTACCCATGTAGCCATTAGTGGGCATTGTTTCGTATGATGGGATTCATATACATATATATATTTATATATATTTGTCTTAAAGTGGCCATTAGGCTGTTTGTTTTTAATTTTGCTGTTACAAAATGTGTTTTTTTTTTCCTATTTTGTAGTCTGTTTGTTTAACTTTTTCGGATACTATATATATCCTATATCCTGTTACGTCTCTTTTTTTGATAGTTTAACTGTTGGGTGTGACTTCCTTTCATGTTCTCCTTTTGACTAGATGCAAATTTGCTTTTTACACAATAAAAATGTTACGTGTGATATTCTAGAATAGGGAGGTCATTGTTCAGCATCCACAGTTAGAAAAGTAATATGCATAGCGTCAAAGATAAAATTGAAATAAACATGACAAAAGGTCTATGTAAGTTTGCTAATTTTCAACCTTGTCTTGAACACAAATATAAACATATGTGGTGATCTAGAATTATAAAAAGCTGGCTGAATAGCTCAGTGGCTTGGGTACCTGGCTGCAGAGCCAGAGGTCGGGAATTCAAGTCCCCACTGTGCCTCCTGTAAGTATTGCCAACCTTTGTAGCCTTGGGCAAGCTGCAGAATCCCAGGATTGCCCCAGAAGAAGGGAATGGTGAACCACATCTGAGTATTCTCTATCTGGAAAGCCCTGGAAAGGGTCACCATAAGTCATAATTGACTTCAGAGCACATGTTTATTATTATGGTTGTAAAACATGTTCAGTTATTGTTGCAAGCAGAACTAAAACTTACATGTGAAGCAGAACTAGGTTTAGGAAAAGTATAACATTCAAATTTACACATGGAAATCCATCTTGCATGTTCGTGCAGTGTGTCATTATGCACTGGTGATATGGTAGTTCATGGATTTGACTTCCTTTTTGAGAAAACTATTTTTTATAATTTTCTTGAAGAAAATTAAATCCATTAACTACCATATCACCAATGCATAATAGTACACTGCATGAACATGCTATATCGATAGGAATAAAAAGTTCTTTTCAGGAGAAATGAAGCGTGTTAGCTTATTTTTAAAATAGATAAATAAATCAAATTATAACAGATAATGGATTTGGCCTGCATATTGTAGTTAGCCCCGGAAAGAATGTACAAGACACCTTGTTCATCCTGCACACAGAAAGACAAATTGACACACCCACATCCCCCTTGTGATGTTTCAACAAAATTTTAAAAATGCTTTAGGTTTCAGCTAACTCTCATACAGATTGTGTCTGTGGCATTTAACGTTAACAGATAACTCCATCTGAAACTAGCGTTTGTAATGTGGAAGTCTCCTTGGCAGGAATCATTAATACTTGATGGGACACCACCTAGCGCTGTCATTTGTGAAAAACAGCTGTTGCATGTAGGGAGCCTTTCATAATGCTAATCCCTCTCTCCGTCACTGTTTGCAGGGTGCAGGCGTGATGTCTGTCTACCTTTTCACCAAACGCTACGCGGAAGAGGAAATGTACCGCCCACACCCAGCCTTCTACCGCCCACGCCTGAGCGACTGTTCTGACTACTCAGGCCAGTTCTTGCACCCCGAGGTGTGGCACCGTGGACGCAGCCCTTCTGACATTTCCAGCGATGTTTCCATCCAGATGACTCAGAACTACCCACCAGCCATCAAGTACCCTGAACATATGCACATATCCACCTCGCCTTGCTAGACGAGCCAGAGAACATGCTGGACCAAGAGGCCAGCCTTTGCTTGCAGACTATACTCTCCGGTCCGTACCTGCCTAGGAGACTCCTTTACCAGTGGGGATCATCTTTCCCTCTCTGAAGGCTCCTTACCACCTGCTCTGCTAGAGACATCTCCCTTTTCCCACTCCCTCTTTCTCTGTCTTTCTCTCTTCCGCTGGTGGGAATTATTCAAGCAACTTCTAAGATTGGTGATGCCCCTCCCTCCAGGCTCCTGCTTGGAAGCAGTCCTAATTTCCTTGTCTCCACTGGGAAACCTTGCCACCAAATGGGAAATCCCAACTCAAGTATTCAATCACATGTGCCCTGCTCATCTTCCAGCCAGCAGGGGAAATTCCCAATTCATTTACGCTGCCTCAGAATACCTCTCCTTTCACTCAGGGGGTTGGAAACCCTAGAAGGAAGTGGCTCATCTAGCATGTTCCTCTCAACCTTCTCCCCAAAGAAGCTTTGACAGGAAGTAGGTTCAAAAAGCATCTGCACCATTCAGATCTTAAAAGGAAGGAGCCCTGCAGCCATTTTTTTTCAAACATTCTTGACAATGAGATGTTTTCTTGCCAACATCATCTTCTGTCCAAACAATGAAAGAATAATAACCTTGACAGAAGATAATGAGTTTAATATTGTCATTGTTTTCTCACTGTAAATGACATCCTCTTACCACTCCCAAAAGAAGGCCATAATTCGTCAGGTGAATTCACTTGAAAACAATTATCTAAAAACAGTTTCTTGGGCAATGACAGGAAATATTAGGCTATCATCTTGATCTAACAAAAAATGCCCAGTAAAATGAAGCATCTTAGTCTCCATTTTGTTTTTCATCGTTCTAGTTTGTGTTATAGCTCATAGACTGTTTCTGTGTTCATTTGTCTCAAGACACCTGCTCTGTCAGAAAGGGTTTCTTCAGTTTATTCCTATCAGTATCTCAATCTTTTAATCAAATTCTAGCATGAAACTGTTCCCTTGACATTTTTTCTGTGTCCAGATGTCCCTGACAGGAAATGATTAGACCACCATTTTTTAAAAAAATCACAAATGACCAATTCTGACATTTTCTGTATGTTTTCTGTTATCGCCTGAGAGTTTCCAATAAAGCCCAAAAACACTAAGGGCTGCACCACCCTGGGGTGGCTAAAATACGGCTGCTTCTTGCCAGGAAATTATCATGTTTTTGTTCTGGTGATATAAGAAAATGACCTAACATCTGAAATTGCTCCCAAAGCCTCACACCATCTGCCTTTTACTGCCTCTACATCCTGTCTCAACCACCTTCTTTGTTTTCTACAAGATGTGGAGAGAAATCCACTGTACTATTTGAAGAGACATTTTTATTTGTGCCCCCGCAAGTGAAAGAGACAACTGAAACCTATTTACAGAGGGGTGAGGAAATAACTTATGTCTTCCAGCCGTCAATGCCTCAAATATTCCTGCCCCACCATTAAGTTGTCCACCAGCCCGTGTCACGGCCGTCATGTGGCACCAATGGAAACTCTTAAGAGACTCAAAACTCTGTTTCAAGCATGCTTCCTCTAGTGATGATGCCATTTGGGGTCTTCAAGGCTAAGACTAAAACAGGGAGAAAGGAGGGGAGGAGAGACAGAGAAAGGAAATGATCCAGCTACAAAGCCTGTTACACTGAGGAGCAGATTTTGACTCCCTCTTTCTTTTCTTTTCTTCCCCAGTCATATCTTTCTCACTCTTGGTGTTCCTATGCCTTCCTTTGTTTCAAAACTTTTCAAAGACTTGCTCATTCTGCTGCAGTTTCTTCTCAACTTTACCTCTCTTTTTTTCTTCCTTCCCTATCCTCCCTCTCATTAAAAAAATCACTTGTTTTTCATTTGTCTGTTTCCCCATTGTTTGTAATTTGCAACATCATCTTCTTGTGCTTTCGGCATTATTTTATTGTTAGTCCACACTGCTGTAAGGATTCAGTATGTACAATTTTCTGGTTTTCTTTCCCCCCTCCTTCTTCCTTTTCTCCCTCCCAACCCTGATCTCACTGAATTTCTTTTAACAGTTCTTTGTTTCAAATGTAGACATTTATTTCTGTTTTTCTTTTCTGAGAAACCATTTCCTTTGGAATCCTTGCCTGCCCACCCCTCTCTACATTACTCAACAACTCCTTTACAATTCCAGTTTTTTATATAGATATTCTGTTGTTCACATAAGGATTCAAAACAGAAGGATGAAGGAGATTTTGAGAAATATGCAACCCCCCCAAAAAAAATATCAATAGGGAAACTGGACAGAGAGAATATAGGGGGAAAAAAGAAGAGGAATAAAAGGTAAACAGTTGTAAATTATACACAGTGGATATATCATGGGCACAGAAGGGGATGCGATATTGAAAGGGGGCTGAGTGGATATGGCTTGTTTCCAGAATACACTCACATTATTTTAGCCTCACAAGTTATTATTAATAACAATAATCAAGATGAAGAACAGCAACAGTATCTCTTTTCCCACTTCTCATTTCAGCCAGAGCAAATGGCAGGACTTCGTTACCTAATTGATATTCTCCCACCCACATCCTCTTTTTTTTTTCCTGTACTAGCAAATCAAATAAAGGGGGGATTTTCTCTCTCTCTTTTATTCTAAGTAATAATTCAAGCCTGGCACTGCTGTTCGGGTGAGGACATATTCAAGGGTTAAACAGAAGTGGATTGCATTGTCCTTGCAACCTATATAGCCTCTTAATGAAAGTGATGATGGGGAAAGAGCCCCATGCCTTGGCCCCCCTATTCTTTTTCTCAATTTGAGGCTTGCTGGATTGGTACTCATTGCATCAGAATCCCCCCTGGTTTGCTGGAAACCGTCTATCACTGTGTGGAATATCTTATGCGGAGGCAGTAGAAAATGAAGGGGGAGAGAAGGCAGGAAGGACTTTTGAAGGATAAGGAGCAGATGCCTGCAATTGCTCTCATGCCGGGGCTATGAAAAGGGATGAAAAGAAAAGATACTGCTGAATCAGCTTTCAACCAAAAAAAAAAGTTCTGATTTTCTTTTTCCGCATGTCTCTCCACTCTCTGCTGAGTCAGTGCCAGCTGCAGCTAAGTTCACCTTCATGCATTGCTTTGCAGAGTGGAACCCAGAAGCAGACCAGTTTTGTATGTGTGTGTATGTGTGATTTTCCTTTATCTTCATCAAACACTCTTGCTGCAACATTGCTGTTTGCCATCACTCTACCACCACCACCACCACTACTGTCACGGTCACCATCACCATCTGTTTCCTCTTTAAAGCAAGAAAAGGTAAACAGATTATCACCTACTGTAAAAGAATGCTCGTGTTTTTAAAGAGGAGTCCTTTCAGAGAGCTACATACTGTACTTGCATAATGAAAATCATAGATGAGGCATCTTGAACTAGAAGTCCCCACAGAAATTATAAAACAGAATTTTCTTCTATAGAGTGCTGTGGGTCTTACTGAAGCACTATGGCATTCCTACAAATGAATCTTTCTTTCAAAAACAAACAAACACGTTTCTAGTCCTCTTGGACCTCGTCGAGCTAAAAGGTCTATCGTAATCCATGACAGGCAACCTCCACTTCTGTTCCCCTTTGAAAACTGACTTTGATGGCAGGACCATGATAAAGAAAGTAAAAGCTATTTTAATCTTTAATCTCTGTAGGGCAAACGAATGTTGCTAAGCATTGTTTATGGAGTAATTAGTTTAAGATATAGTATGTGGGTCCTTTGGGGGAAGGTAACCTCAGTGCCTGCTCTCTGAATGGATCTACCTTCTTGATATTGCTCCTGTTGCCTGTTCTCTCCCTTTGGGTCCAATCCAGATAACTACCCAGAAGAAGAGGGAAGCTCAGGTGAAGGATGCTGATGGTGCTTCCCTTGTTTTGTCATTGTTTACATCCTTGAAAGAGTACAGGTGAAGAGGAAGTAAAAACTAGGAGATCAGGTTATGCGTTGGACTGTCATGAGATTAAAGTAACTTTAGCACTCATTACTGTGCATGTTTACTCAGAAGAAGTCCCACTAAATTCTCTAGGATTTCCTACCCAATAAGTGGGTTTAGTTGTAATCTCCATATCAATTGAAATCAATGGGACTTGTTTCTGAGCAGGCATCTGTAGGATTGCACTGTTAGTCAATCAGTTAATCAAATCTACATATATGAATACAGGAAAAACATTCTAAATGGAATAAGCATGCATTCTGTGTTTTTATATGATATCAATCAAAGGCAGTGTTTTAGAATATCAAAATATTTTAATCAATTAACTGATTCAGCACTGCAGCCCTAGTTAGTATGTTAAGTGTTTCCCTCTGCATTTCCTCCCAAAGAGTGGCCCTTTAAAAGACCTCTTTCAGAATGTTCCATTTAAAATAAAATAAAATATGGGGATTTTGAAAATTCCCAAGCATATGATCAAGAAAATACATAGAACACAGATCAATGCCAAAACTAAAATTGATACATGGGCAGTTTGACCACGGGATCAAATTGTGCTAAGAACAATAGTAGTAGAAACCAAAGCATGTTTACTTGGAGGTAAGTCCACTAGGTGTAAAACAATAAATGTCCACAGGATTATGGCCTCGGGGGTGGGAGAGATAAGACTGCTAGTGTAGACACAAGACCAAGAAGATTGTAAATGGATGACTACATGGGTAGCCGCATGCTAGGTGGCTGAACAGAGATGGTTCCCTTCTCCCCATGTACAGTACATTCCTAAGTTTCTGTCCTTTGCCTGCAGCTGCCTCTTGTGTCTTTTAACTGCTGCTTGAGAGCCAAAATTCCAATATGGGAACGAATTGCAGGTATAGGGAGGCAGCTATGGGGTGAAAATCCTGTGATGCATCTCTGATTGTCATGCAGCACCTAAAAGACACTGGAGCCTGTCCTTTAAAAATTCTGGCAACTGTTTTTCCACTTCTAGGCATCTGTTCCATACACATTTTGTGCTGAGATGATCAAGATGAAGTGATTTGCACTTCTTATTGCAGAGTCCCCTCTGCATTCTTCAGAGTACATATAGTGCAATTTCCCCCATACATCCCTTGAGTATTCTTTGACTGTTGACTCACCCTTTAATGTGTGTAGCAACTCCACTGGAAAAGCACATGATATTTGCTTTTGGAGGGCTCATTCACATACTACACAGCATAATGTCTTGGGATGGTCTTCCATGGAAGGAGCAACATGAGAACAGGAGTGAAGGAGGGGTGGACTTCCAGATGTTATTAAAATCCAGCTTCTATCAGTCCTCTCTGTCATTGCCAATGGGAAGAATGATGGGAACTGCAGTTCAATGGTGTCTGGAAGATGACATATGCAAGAGGGGAAAAAAAACATTCCTGGTGCAAATTTCTCTCCTACGCATCTCTTAAGGCCTGTTAGTTCTCTCAGTCTTGATGTGGGAAGCCCACATCTGAGGTTCTCTATAGCGTGCACAGTTCCAGCAGAAACTGGTAGGAGCTGAAAGCAGGGAAAGAAACATTTCCCTTTCTGTCTTCAGAACTGTGCCAGCTTTGGGAAGGCAGGGCTCTTGAGCTTTCCACAGACTCATGAGAAACAAAAACTCAGCTAGCAAAACTTTCACTCTCCCTAGACTTCCAGGGGTCAAAATAGCCAAGCCTGTTGGACTTCCATCCTCCATGGTGCAGGAGGCCTGTAAAATGGCGGGGAAATATGGCACCTCTTTTGTCATGCATTTGAGTAGTGAAAACATTTAGGACCTTTTAAAAGTAGGAGGCAAACTCCCTTTGAGTTTGGAAAAAGTCTTTGATGGGCTAAAAGCCATTTTGTACATTTATATAGACAGAGATTAAATGAAATGGAAAAGGGCCATTTTGTGAGCACTGAAGTCAGAAGTGTCTGGAGTAGATATGTAGGGGGGCATACCTAAGGGCAAAATTTTACATTTTTAAACAGTTAAATCTTTTTTTTTTAAATCTCCATCAAACCAGGGGAGAGGGAGTGGGGATGTTTTGGTGGTGCTACAAGAGTTAAATTTGCACTCTCACACGCACACAGGTTATTGTAGCAGCTGAGGATTTTATTCTCTATGGCAGGAAATAGTAACTTTTGTAGGGAAGGAGGAGCTTGACACTGTGAGAAAAGCAAAGTGTAAGGAAGGGAGGGCAGGGCCTGCAATTATGGAAGTGGAGCTGTGGTGCTGGTTCATGGAGGGGGCACTGATTCTATTTTCTTAGTCTACATCCTAGAATTTTGGGGTGAATGGGGTTAGGGGACAAGGGGAACTATGGGGAGGGGGAGGGGTTTAATTAACCAACAAAGGAAACTGGGTTTTTTTAATTAATTGCAAGAAAATTGTTATTATTATTATTAATGATTACTATTATGATTAATAAAATGTCCCAAGTCCAGCCCTTTTCTTGCTTCAGAAGAGGGACTGGGCCAAAAAGATCCATTATTTACTCTGTATTATAATGTAAATAAGACTTCAATAAACTTTATTTCAAACAAAAATATAACTTGTTACATGAATGTGGAGTCCACTGCAAGGTAGACTTTAGACCAGTGGTTCCCAAACTTGGGTCCCCAGATGTTCTTGGACTACAATTCCCAGAAGTCCTGGCCAGTACAGCTAGTGGTAAAGGCTTCTGGGAGTTTTAGTCCAAGAACATCTGGAGACCCAGGGTTTGGAACCACTGCTGTAGAGAGGCTGACAGCAAAGAGACCAAAGCAAGAATCACTCTGCCTGCACATTGTCACCTAATTACATGTAAGCAATGTCAGGACATGTTCTAACTGCATGGGAGTTGGGCATCATCTATGCATTTGGAGGCACTTGCTTGACATGTTCCAGAGCTGAGATAGTGGCCCAAATCACTGAGTAGAGGGAACAAGGTAGAGATGGTTGAAAAAGTCCCTAGGGCAGAACTAGGAAAAATTATATTTCTGGCAGGGAGATTTGGGGGGGGGGGAGTAGTTCACAAAAATGTCTTTTCCAAGTACTGTTGTGGAATTATAGCAGACGTTTCAAAGTGCTAGGAATCCTGTTTCAAGTGTGGGAGGTGAGAAGGAAACAAGATGGGAAAATTGTAGCTCTGGGACAGAGCACATGCTTAGTCTGTAGAAGGTCTTGAGTTCAACCCCTGGCAGCTCCAGATAGGAAAGACTCTAGCAGGAAGCCCTAGTAGAGCCACAGCTAGTCAGCATTGCTAATATTGAGCTAGATGGATCCATGGTCTGAGCCAATATAAGGCAGGCTTCTGCTGTGCTCCTAGAGCATTTGCTGAGCTGGCCTGTGCCATTTTGCTGCCAGAGGTGGAAAAGCTAACAATGCCACAGAGAAGTCAAGATGCTTTGCCCTTAAGACCATGGAAACCATTCTGGTACACGAGGCAGAAAACTCCACAGCTTCCTCTTTCCACCTATGGCTGAAAACACAGAACAAAGTAAAAACAAAAAACAAAAACTAAGACTTTACAGCCTTCCATAACACCCAAAATCTGCCTGAGGTGGCTGGCTCACTCTTCCTAAGGCATGGGTAAAGAAAGGAGCAGAGGAGGTGGGCAGAAACCAGGATTTTAGGTCTCTCACCTGTTTCTGGCGTGCCAGCTTGTTTGTAACTCACAGTCTGCATCGGGAAGCAATTAAGGGAGCAAGAATTCAAGAGAGAACCATTAGGGCACACCATTTTGAGAGGGAAAAGGGAAGAACAATGTCAAGACAAGAGCAGCACCCTGGCGAATGTGAAGGGGTTAACAGTCACCATGGTGATGAGCTGGAAATATGGTACCTTGCATGCACACGTGGCAACCAAGGAACTGGCAGAAAACGGTGCCGCATAGAAGAGCTGGGAGGGGATGGGGGGGGGCTTGTGAAATCAGGAAGGATGCAGTAAATGTGGCACGTTGGAGAGGCGGAGGCAGAGAGGATGAAAAGCTGCTTGGAATGATTGGGGAGGGGGCTTGAGGAAGCAGAAGACTGGAAGAGCAAGAGGACCCCAGGAGGAATTCGCGCAAGAAACTGAAAGAAGTGGAGGCATTTGGGAATGGGAGCATCTTGGGTGTGGCAATTGGAGTGCAGGACCAGGAGGGTGGGGCTGAGGTAAGAAAGTATATTCTGGAGGCAGGGAAAGCAGGGGCATCAAGAGATGTATTGAACTTGTTAACGAAAAGAGAAAAGAAAATGCATCAAAAAGAAACAAAGGAAAGGAGGAAGATGTGGGGGGGAGACGTTGGGGATGTGGAGAAGGGAAACAAATGCGGCAGGAAGAATGGGAGTGAGAAGTCTGGGACAGGAAAGTGGGAGGCATGAAGGGAGGGTCCAAAAAAAAAAAAAAAAAAAAAAAACAGGACTTCTTCCAGGGAAAGACAATGGCAACCAGACTAGGATAGAAGAAAGAGGGTTCAGGAAGAGCAGAAGGGTGGGAGAGCAGAGGTGAGCGAAAGAGGACCGGAGAGACGGACACAGCAAAGTTTTGTGTGCTGGGTTGGGGTGAAAAGAGAGTTCGGAGGGAGAATTCACTCCAGA